TCGCCACAGATTCAGATACGAATAAGTAGGTAAATAAACAAAATGGAACCGACGCTAGAAGTAGTAACGCTCGTAAAATGCTTCCAGCTTCAAGAGCAACAAGCAAGAAATAAGGAAAAGCACTTCGCGACACGAGAAGCGTGCCATCTAGATCTGCAGCCACAGTTTGATTCGAGCCCCTCGGTGCTACATTTGGAGATTGGTTCAAAACGGCGATAAGCCCCCTGACCATGCTGGAGTTGTAGAGAAGTTTATGTGTAATGTGGCCAGTAGGTAATTTATGAATGAAGAGAAAGAGAGCGAAGTGGGGGAATTTAAAAGGACCGAAAATTGAGATGGGAACATAAGATGTGTGTTGTGTTGGTGGTAAATGAAAATATTATGTGGTTTGAGAAAAATAGATGCAGACTCAGACTTTATAAACCATGGAAGGTTAACGTAGTAAAGACTTTTGTTTTTGTTTTTTTTGTTTTTTGACTAAATTAGGGCAGTTGTGAAGAGGTCCAAGTGGTTGGAAGTCGATACCACACCTAATTCATTCAATTAGCCTACTTTGTTTATGGACGCCGGCCCCGCTAATATAATAAATCCTCAGCTCCATGCTCACTAACCTCCTTATTCTATGGGTGTTTTTTTCCATAAATTAATTACTCTCACATTCACCATATCTTTACTAGCTTCACCTTTAACATATCAAAATTCTTTATCTCCTGTCTTGTTTATTATGTTACGATTTCCTTTTCTAAATTAAAATGCACCCATCAACTTAATCCAAATTTAAATACCAATTATTGACTGCTAGCTGTATCATTAATTGATAAATTTAAATTAAATACATACAGCATTATTGGCAAAAGAGTGTTGTTCCAAATTTGACAAATCATACCCAAGACATAATAGTTGCACAAGTATCCATTATGCTAGAAATTTTGTAACGACGAGTCTGGTCGCATACGTATATCTAACTGATCTTTACAAACTATAAACACTTACAAGTTCAAAAGACTGTAAACTATAAATATTATATTGTACTAATGTTTAAACTCAAGAACTTAAAAATGAAGTATCCTCCTTGACCTCCAAGCCAATCCCTCGGTGGCAGCTTGACATTCGTTTCTAAAATGGGAATATTCATATTGTCAGAAAGGAAAACAGAAAATAATAAAATAGTGAACGGAGGAATGGGTGGAGATGAGTATGGAAAAACATTTGGCCCTCCAACAACCCATGTTATTATCATTCAATAAAAGACCCATCTGTTTTAGGTGGACAAGAAGAAGGTGAAAGGCAATTGAATTCAATCCATAATTCAATATATTATTGCAGCAAATAGTTTGGTTTTTTTGGCCGAACAAATACTATTCGATAGCGGTTCATTCTCTTTGTATATATATATGTATAATTAAGATGCCAGCAGCCCCAAGTGCTATCTTGATCGATCATCACTCAATCGTGCCATCACACACGTATCACAAGAAGATTAATAACTTAATCAGTTACCAGATTAAGAAATTTAATCACCAGGATTCATATAATTTTAAAAAAATGGGTATATTCAAAAAGACAAGTGACATCTTCATTTAATGCATATTACGCTAGCTTCAAGTATGCATATTTACTGCTACCTCAAGTACAAGTTAACAAAGCAGTTTATAAGAAACATTATCGGCTAAAAAGGGCTTCCAACGACACTGAAAACACTGTTCTTGTATCGATATAATTAGGTTAAAAAAGAGCAAGAGCTCTTTAAGATGATGCTAATTAGTGTTGTTTAGTTAGGGTTAAATTTAGAGACATTCTACGTATACGTTAAAAGAAAAACAAGGTGGTGAGTGTCTATTTATGGCTTCGGCAAGCTGAGAATGGAAGGAGCTCAGGTTTATCCGAGCCAACAGCCAAGTGAAGAGCTTGCTTGAAATCAATGCAAGCCAACCAATTGTGCTATTTAATTATTCTTAGATTTCAAGCTCCCAATTCTTGACTTGACACAAATTTAAACTTAAAAAATAAGATCAAATTCAGTTTGTATTCACCACTTGATAAAAGTTTTCTAACGGGTAGATATTGACACAACCGAAATTGTGTTCTTGCCCTCAAGAAAGAGTTAACTTGAAAGCAATAAAATTTAAGGATTAATTAATTGTTGACAATTTTGCAGCTGTGTGGATTATAAATTGTTGTTGAATTAGGAAATTTTTGCCTCCCATACTTGACAATAATAAATAAAATACTTGCCAAAGACTTGTAAAATGGACACGTTCTGTTCAAGTATAATATTTTTCAAAAGGATAAACGACAGGCATTAATATCTGTGTCTGTAATTCGTTGGTACAGCCATTTGTTTGTTTTTTTATGCATTTGCATTTGCATGCAGTCTTAATTAGTTCTCTCATTTGTATGCTTCAAAAGGTATCATCGCTTCGTTATGAAACATGATTAATCAGAAATTCTCAATCTCTGTACTTTGCATGTAATTAGAAACTTGAGTGTATTTATAAACTATATACGTTCTTTTGAAAAACATAAATTAATTAACCTGCGGGAAGAATAGGGTCAGTCAAAGTCAAGAAGGAATTAGGATAAGAAATAATATTTTGTAGGTGAAATAAAATCTCTACAAAAGTCTTAACCTTATAATTAAGCAATGTCCGTAATTACTTAAGTCGTATTTTCAGTTAGGTATACATAATTCCCGAAACAAGCAGAAATTATATCCAAAGCTGTTTAATAACTTATAATTAATCCAAATATTACAACCATATCACGAAATATTAATCATTTTTGCTATTGTATATAAAATATGATATGGTCTTGCAATTAATTAGAAACCGACTCTATCATGGGACTCTGATTTTCAATATTGTCACTTTATCGACAGTAATTGGTTGCTTCCAATCTTGGCATCAGGTAAACCAGTCACATTCTGTTCAGTAATGGCACAGCATAGAGAAGATTGTGGTTGAGAGCAGAACAAACGTTGCCCTTGGTCTCACCTAATTAATCGGCTAATTCTTTTACTTCTTTAAGACACCCAAATTATCAAACAAACCATTTATTCCTGCAATTAAACCTTAATTAATTTTGATGATTATCCCATTTAATGTATTTTAATTGTAGTTGAACTTATTGACACGCGATTACTTCCACACCATTGATTAGGAATAATTTACTGAACTTCTGGTTCAACAACTCTGATTTCACTAGGAAGAAAATGTCTCCAAGAATGAAAAGGACCCAAATGAATCACATTTTATACCAGTAGATCTACAATCTATGTTTACAACTTAAATGCAACTTTGGGAGTCTTTAAACCTATTAAACAAAGTGATGATAAAAGAAAATTAGGTTGAAGAAAGAGGCCAATTATTGAATCAATTAAGAAGTTGTAGGCATTTAGGTTACGTACGTAATCATGAGAACAGTAAATTAAAGGCCGTGGTGAGCAGAAACAGACAATTCTCCATTGAAGTTAAGTTGTGGTTCAGAAGGCAACAAATAGTACAACCTTTTCGACAAGCAGATTTGAAGTTTGCTTTGCTTGTTTCAATATGTTTAGATTATGGGCCATGTGTATTGCGAGGGAAATGTATAGAATATTTTGTTGGAATCTTGTTCAATTTAATTGCAATGGATGGTGATCGATCGATCACTATTCATTACTTGGGGCAATAATGTTTATGCATGAATGAAAGAAATTAGACATTTCAGCGAGTTCTGGTCCACAACTATGAGGGTTTCCCTTAATTATGAGCTATTGAAATTGTCCATTACAGATGGTAAAACTACGGTTGAGGCGAACGAGAATGATTTTTGAGAACGAGACAGGCAATCTTGTAAACTTAAGGAACAAAAAAAATGAACACAAGGATCGAAGACATCAGTGTGGTGTCAACCAAAATACTTGACGCCCAATTAACATGGTTAAAGGGAATCATAAGGTGAGAACAGAAATAGTTTACTAGGAATGCGAAGCGACGACGATAGAGTGGTCGGAATCGGCTCTACGAAACATCATTACTTTGGGGCAATAACGTTAATGCGTGAATTTAAGAAATGAGACAATTTCAGCTTGGGTACTGGACCTGGTCCACAACTATGACGGTTTCCTTAATTATGAGCAATTGAAATTGCCCATTCCGATACAATGCTAACATTATTATCTTTAGCTGTTAGCTGGCAACATCAACATTAACATCTTGCTGACGATCATCAATGCCTAAAAAATCAATTGGACCTCTGATTACAGTGATGAAATCAAATGAAATGTTGTGGTTGCCGATTTATAAACCCCTACCAAACCTTTGTATATTGATAGAATGCTTTAGTAATTGAAAGGGAATATAATCATAACTAGAATTACAGCTTTTATGAGTTATGGCACTTGGAAAAGATGGACTTTAATTGAACCGAAAGAAGCTCTAATTAATTAAACGCTACCAAATTGCAGCTGGATCACTTTCTAAAAAACGGCAGTGATTGTAGAAGATTTTGGGGCATTTCACCCAAATTTATTAAATGAAGGATGTTGGTGAAGAAAGATCTCAGAAAGGAACCCAAGTTAATTAAATGAAGGATGTTGGTAAAGATTCGAAGAAACATCACAGAAAGGAGATATGGAGGTGAGACTTGAGACTTAGTGAAGTCAACGCACTTCGATAGTCGGAAATTTTGGCCCGCCAACCTGTTTCAAAGAAAGATATGTATTTGCCCACTTTCCCTTTGTAAATTTCTCTAGCAGGAGACGCTATTATGACACGAAATATTTTAATGTACTTTGTGGTTTTATAAACCAAACAGTTTACCATGGTTTTAAAAGTAAAGTCAATAGAGGTTTAGATGGACGATGGTATCTTTCTTCTGTGTTAAGTTTTTTTACTTGGTCTTTCGTTTTGGTTTGGTGAGCATCTTCCTTCAAAGACCATTCGTATTTGCAATGACATTGACTTTGAAAACCCCGAAAAAAACAGAAACCCAAAAGCTTCTTAAATGTGCTCCATGGATATCATCAATTACTCGAGATATAATCGCCGCGTGAATTAGTAAAAAGAAGGTGAGTATAGCAACTAGTGCTAACAGAGGAAGGTGCCATCAGTCAAAGATTCGAGTATGTTTTAAAACGTTTTACACTAGTATTAAGGGCAGTAAGTTAGGAATATCCTGAAAGAAAAACATAGAAGGAGGCCTTAATGAGATTCAATGAAAATGGGGGAAAGAAAACAATCAGCTGGAGCTGGGTGATGGACTCTTTTAAAGTCATTAAAACTGAAAAACAATGTTCTCATTGAGATAATCTATCACAAGACTGAAACCACACCAGAGAAAGATGAACTCTCCCACACTTCAATTCCCTCAACATCTTGTCTACTAACAAACAATCTATTCCCACCACCTTCAATTCTGGTTATCAATCCTCTCTCTGAATCCTCCACTTTATCCACATAATTTCTCTTATACAATCCTTCATTCAATCCCCTTTCTCTCTCTTCAACTCTTGACCAAACCTCTAATCCCCCTTGGCTCCCCACGAACACTTGATTTTTATAGCAATGTATTATGGTATTTCCTCCATACCAATTCCCTCCCTCGCTGAAATTTCTTACATTATGACTGCTGTCCTTCATATATACCCACGGATCTTCGCCTAAATTACGCAAATCTGCCATCGCTAAATCGCCTGACTTCGAACATATTTTGAACAGACACAACTCCTCCGCGTCCACATCCACGTCAGCAAATGAGTCTCCGAACCTACTGCTTCGGCCCGAACCTGGCTCGTTCGTTTCCCAAACCACATCTCCTGAACGTGGGTCCCACATCCTTATGTATCCGGAATAACCGAATGCCCCGCTGGTGACCGAGCTTCCTAAGATAAGGCCGGTCGACTGAATCCACGTCAGCTTCCCGGGGACTGTGGTCTTTGACGAGCTACCGGATTGTCTACCTAGCTCTGACGAAATCTGGAGCGTTGATTTGTCAATCATGAGGATGCAATTCTCTTTGTGTCGACACACGAAAGACGCCAAGATGGAACCTGGGGAGTCTGAGATGGCGATAACTTGCGCTCTGTATATCCTCGGATCGGACGAGTCCGTCCAGTGAGTGGTCGCCACGTGGCGAGCGCCTGAGACATCGTAGAAGTGTATACCGGCGGAGGAATCTGAACCGACGGCGGCCACATCAGGCCAAACGCGGCGTATTGATGTGATGTCCTCTAGGTGCGTGCGGACGGTGCTCGAGTGAGACAGGTTCCAGTCGTAGACGGATATCTGACCTCCGTGAGCAATCCAGAGGGATCCGTCATCGGCCGCCGCCGTAAAGGCAGAGGGTAGGGCGTCAGCTGCGGGACGGACAGTGGACACGACAGACGCGTCGATGCCTTGAAACGGCGGCGGAGACATCGCCGATTTTAGCTGCGACTCAATGCCGTAGTACAGCGCCTCATCAGCGAGTTCTTGTTTAGAAAAGCGGCTTGCAGTTGAGGGTAAGCGATTCGAACGAAGCAGAGATAATAGCACCGAGAATATATCCGGGTCCCGGTCAATGAAAATAGGGTTCGGTTCGTGAGTCGGGCGGTTTGATAGAGCGTACAGAAGTGAATCGGGACCTCCTGACTGGATCGTTGAGACAGTTGTCTCGAAGAGTTTGCCACCGACGTTGAGCTTGATACGGTTGTTGTTGTGGGGCTCAGGAGTATTACTGGAATTTACTACAGCCATTGAAAGCAGATTGCGGAGTTCATGAATGGATGCAAAGCAAGGATTAAGACAGTCAGGGAGGAGTAGTCACCGGGAAAAGGATCGGTAGTGTAGGATTAATTGACTTTAATACCCTTATTTAATTATTTTAGATTAAATTAAATTAATCGATGTTTAATTGGAAGTTGTGATTAGTTGTTAAAAACGATAGATTTAAAGTTGAGCGCCTGCAACGAAACGAAAATCAGAATCTGCAGAATTATTTAGAATTTTTTATGAAGAAAAACTAGGCCCAACTCTAAAGGGCTCAATTGATCAAGTTGGGCCTTTACTGTTTTTGAGAACTGGACCCAGTTTCTGTTGACTTTTCCAAAGCCTACAGGCTAATTGCATACCATTTATTTCCAATCACATATTCAATATAGGGTCCATTTCGTTCATTATTCTGATACTTTTTAGAATAATATTTTAAAAAAAATTAAATTAGACGGATATTATAATGTAAGATTTAGAAATTAACAAAAATATCTCCTATATTTGTTTATTTACTAAACACTGCTATAATAAAATATTAAAAGTTAACAAAAACACTCCTAACCAACCATTAAATACGGACAGTCAGCCACCATTGTCAGAGGATGTCTAGAGTCACCGTATCGGCACATGACCGGTTGGATCTTGCCGTTCGTGCGTCAATATAGCTTTTTTCGATCAGATCACGATGGACTAGCCGGAAAAGGCCAGATCTACAACTATATCTCCAGATCTGGCCGTATTTGGTCGTCAATGATGGCCAAAGATACGATCGTCATTGACCATCAAATATGGTTAAAGATCTAGCCGTAAATTTGGCATTTTCTGGTCAGATCCACCGGAAAAAGGCTAGATTGGTGCACTACCAGCCATATTTAGCCAGTAGTGCACCATTATACCAGATTCCGATAGTGGTGGCCGGAGTCTGGTAAATGTGGGTTGTTGGGATATTTTTGTAATTTAAAAAAAATTAGGGATATTTAGTTAAATTAACAAATTTATAGGGGTTTAAAAGAAATTAAATAATATAGAATAATATTTTGAGAATAAATTAATTTTACTGTTTAACTTTATTGAGACTACCAATAATAGTATTCCCAAGAGTGTAGCAAACAGAGCCCTAGTTTGGTTGGACTTTGCCACTATAATATTAATGAACATGAAAATAAATAAAAACTGCGTCGACAGACAGATCTTAGTAACACCAAGGAATTCAACCATATATGAACAGATATTATAATCTGTGTTAGTCTCTGGCAATGTGTCAGTATGCAAACGGGTTATACGGACCAACTCAATACTGCAATTTATTATTATAATTATGGTATGTTGGGTCCAATAGCAATAAAATCAAGACATCCATCCTTGATTTTATTGATGTCTTGATTTTATTGCTATTGCAGACTTCCAGTTGTCTGTTTGATGGTCCTTCGCAGCAACAGACTACTGCTAAAACAGTCAGAAAAATGAAGGTATTTAGTCTTAATCTTATGCTTATAAAATTGTTTAATTAACTGTATATTTAATGTAGTTATACTTAAGAGATGTTACAGTAAATCTAGTTTTCTTCTTGCTTTCCCCAGAGAACGACTTAGTTTTTAGGTTTGCCAGATGACGTTGAATTTTAAGGTCTTATGCTATTGCTAGGCCTACTGCAATAACTAACATTTCCTCAATTTAAAACACACAGCTCATCCTTATCCTTTATATATATTTTTTTAATGAAATATAGAACATAAATATTTTAAAGATGTTATAGAAATAGTCCATATTAAATGATGGGTTGTTAAATTTTGTAAGTAAATTTGTTGCCAACAACTATCACTAGTGACCTAATGATAAAAGAATAAAAGAAGATTTCATGAATTTTTGAGTTCGAATCCTTTCAAGTAGGGCCGTCAGTCGAGCCGAGTCAATCGCAAGTCGGCTCGGCTCAGCTTGTTAAATACTCGAACTCGACTCGAGTAAGGTACCGAGCCGAGTTCGAGTCTATCGTGACTCGGCTCGCGCGGCCAATCGTGGCTCTTTTAGGGTTTTTCTGCGCATAATACAAGTTTTTGGTTTGTTTTATAATTTGACATGTAAAAAACTAAAAGGTTTAAAAAATTACAAATTAACCCTTAACCAAATAACCTCAATTAACCCAAAATAAAATCGCGTAAATGCATTCTCTCTCAAATCAAGAACCGTAATCGAGCCATAATTAAGCTAATTCGAGCTCAAGTTAAACGAGCTTGAGTCGAGTCACGAGCCAAATTTTCTTGGCTCAATCGACTCGTGACTCGACTTGAACTTGTCTAATGCTTAACCGAGTCAGACTCATTTAGGCTGATACTTGACTCAATTCGGCTTGTTTATACTCCTATTTTTAAGCATTGATAGGGGTAGATACTAGGACTCTTATCTGATTGACAGTTTTAAAATCCTACAAAATTTGTTAAAGTACTATGAGAAATTGTTGCCAACCCAAATCATTTATTGTTTGCTTGTATTTTAACGAGTTAATAAAACTGTTTAAATTTGTCGGCTTGTGCCTCTCTTTCGGGAATAAGTTGTTATCTAGTTCTATTTAAAGATGATGGAAATTTGATTGCAAATATAGTTTGAAGGATATTGGGGCCGTGGGGGAGGAAGTTCATAAATTGGATCTGTGCATGATAATGATATTAGACGTAGGTGAGGTGGCATATATTAAATAGCTCGGCGTTGGAGACAAACTCAAGGATGGCTGCATTAAAGCGTTGAAATTAACTGGATGGTGCCTGTGAACCAGTGGTGTCGCACGTGGATTTTAGGGAAATTCAATGCCCTAATTAATTGATATCAACCATCCAGCTGGGTTAACCAAAGCCTGTTCATAAGCGAATTGGAAACAATAATACTACTCATTTATGATACATTAATTAAATTGCAAATCGTTAATTAAGACCCTTTTAGACAAGAAAGATATATACTTAATTACAGGTCTTTAATTAAGAGTTATCGATTTCTTTTAACTCAAATAATGGTTTAATGATACTTTATCGTACATAAATTTTTAAAATATTATTTTTTCATCCAAAAAAATACACTTTCTGATATAATAGTGTATGAAAAGCAAAGTCGGTCTATGTTGTTAGAACTTTTGAAGAAGAAAGATCAATGAGTTTTTTTATGGTGAAAGATTGGATTTTAATGGTTGTGATTGGTCGAAATTTGACTTTAAAAAAACTACTGTAAGAATTTTAATCGTTTAATTGTCGACGATTAATAAGGTCAACGATAATAATGTTTGAGGGGTTTTGATTAATAATATTAGAGAAGAGAACAGTGATAATGTAGAGTCATAATGATGTCAATATCAGTCAAGATCGATCGACTATTGATGAGACAGATAGAAAAGTATTACTTGATTAAAAATTTGATATTTTAAATTACGTGAGTTGAAAAGCGTCATTCAACTATTATTTGAGTAAAGTGGATAACTCTTGAAATATAGCACGATAATTTCATAACAGGTTAAGGGAGTGTTTGTCTGAGCTTATAAAAATTAGCTTATAAGCAACAAATACTTATAAGCTAAAATTAGCTTATAAGCATTTGAAATTTTAAGCAATTACGTGTTTGGCTAAAATACTTATAAGTGACTAATAAGTAATTGACGTGTTTGGTAAAATGTAGCTTATAAGTATATTTTATTATAAAATGACTAAAAAATGTACTACATTAAATAAGGGTATACTATGGAATTTTAAAATTAAACAAGAATAATATGATAATATACTTTGTCAAACTAACTTATAAGCAAAAAAAAAAAAAAAAATCTTCCCCAACTTATTTTTTTTAGACTTGTAAGCACAAAAAAATTATAAATAAACAGATGAGTTTAATTTTAAAGCTTATAAGTTAGTTTGATTAATGACCCCTTTGGCTGGGACATTTGGTGAGTTGTCATTTTCTTTCATGAGAAAATGCTATAGTAGATATAAATTACCATTATGGTTGCACAGTTTGATCATAAATATCATTTATTACTTGTCTCTTCAAATGCCTTTCGTCTTAATTTTATAATAAATTAATTGATATTAGAATTGTTATAATAAATTGGATATCAAATAAAATCAATTTATAGTAAGCTTTATATAAGAAATACTAAACTTGTCGGTGTATACAGCAATGAAATTAATGGTATATTACTATCACCAGCATGTGCGAATTCTCCCACAGGCCACAGGTCACTTCTTCAGACCCACAATCTCTGTTACTCTAATCATCTTAAAAAATCACTCTTAATTAGAAGCCAAAAGATTTGTACTTTGATAATGGCTTCTGTCTAAAACGATATTTTTATACGACAAACTAGTAATTAATATACATAACGATTATTTAATGATCATTATCGTAATCAATAATTTTTATTGTTTTGATAAAGTTTGAAACATGTAAAAACCAGTAGAAAATTAATAATAAATTTTGCTTTTTTAGTTGGTTCCTGCTTCCTTCTCCTTCTCCTTCTTTGATGGAACTCGGCCATCTGTACCTGCGAGCATGGCGTACTTGTCCTTCCTTGTCAAATTGGTGCACTCGAACCCTAATGTCCCTGCAAGAACCCTTTGAATGTAATTAGCAACTTCAATGGCTGATTTCCCACCTTTGCAAGTAAGCTCCTGAGGCAGCTGCTTCAAGAAGGTGATCTCATAAGTCGGCATTGGATTCATGAACACAAAATAAGGATCCAACAATTTATGCCCACGAACTGTTGTTCCGTGAAACACACTTTGTTTTGTGTTAATTGCAACCGGCACAATTCTGTCAGTCAACTCAGCGAAAAGAGCACTAAACCTCAACAGAAATGGTTCTCTACAAGTAGTTCCCTCGGGACAAATTACCAAATCGCCTTCTTCGAGCAAACTCTTGATATGAGCGGCATCTTTCTCTCTTTCTCTTGACAATGCAACCGCTTTAATTGGTGAAATGATCTCAGTGAATTTACTTATACTATACGTGACACAACTGATTTTCCTTCCCAACGCAACGGCAGTGACCACGGGGTCTAAAACTGTGCGATGGTTGCAAATAAAGAGAACCCCACTTTGGCCTTTCTTGGGAGCCGGTGGAGGAGTTCCTTTAACAACAAC